TCTCTCTCTCTCTCTCTCTCTCTCTCTCTCTCTCTCTCTCTCTCAGAGTCCGGTACTAGCCTGTGAAGTTGGCGCCTTGATGCAGGTACCTCGAAGATGGAGCTGGAGCTATGGCGCCACAGGTAAGTCCCACTGGCCTCCGCCAGCCATCTCTCCCAACTCTACTACTACCACCTACTAGCGCCCAGCGCTGAAGAGTACTGCTATGGCTACTAGCGCCCAGCGCTGAAGACTACTGCTAGCGCTAAGCTACTCCTGCAGCGCTCCTCCTGAGTGCTGCGGCCGAATCCTAAAGACTACTCCTGCCTTCTGTCCAACTACCTACCTGTGAAGTGCATGGGAACTTCCTATGTACTACTCGGGTGCCTCCTGACTGCAGGGCGAGGCAGTCCAAGAGGCTGCTCTTGCCAATGCCGAAGGGAGTCAGGGGCTGCCGCTGCAGCTCCTGCTTGAGGCTGTCGTGGGGAACAGGCCAGAAATAGCCTGTTCCCGAAACCCTGTTTTTGTGCCTGAGTCTTAGGGTAGGTCGATCTTATGAGGGCCCGAAAGTGGCCCTCCGTTTCAGGCTGAAAAGCCTCAGGGCTGAAAAGCCCTGTTTTAGGCTGAAACGACATAGGGCCTGCAGGCCCTCGTTTTTCAGTCTTTCAGGCTGAAACGACAGGGGCCTGTAAGCCCTTATTTCTAGGCTTTTAGGCTGGAAATGCGGGACGGGCCCTGCAGGCCCGTGTGGCTACGCAGTATGCCACACCCCCCCCTCCTTGAAAGACCGAGCTTACCTGTGAGGGCGAAGCTGTTTGTCTGAGGGAGGGACCACAGTCCGGGTGGGAGGGGCAGGTCGTGAAGGTCCCTGAGCTAACCTTTGTCGCTCGTAGTGAGCGTAGATCAGCGGTGCGGATGATTTCAAATCTGTTCCTGAAATCCACCGAGTGTCGTCGGGATCGCATGCTCTGAATGTAACTTTGTACTGTCGAGGCTTGTTGCCGTACTTGCGATCCGTGATGACGCGGTCAACCTCCTGATGACCATCCATAGATGGAGGGTCCTGCGATCGTCGGCCTGGGAAGTCGTCGCTCTTAGCTGGTGTAAATGTTGCCAGCTTCGAGGCGTGAAAGACTGGATAACCGGTCAGATGCGCCGGGATGTTGATCACAAATGAAGGGTCATCGGGCTCATCGCCCGCGACTGATGTTACGGGCCATGGTCCAAACCACTTGGGAAGCAGTTTGCGTGAAACATCCTGTTCCTGTGCAAACTCTTCCACGGAGACCCAAACCAGATCATCGGCGCGGATGGGACATGGCACGCAACGCCTGTTGGCTTGCTGCTGCATGCGGACTTGAGCCTTTTGCATGTTCGCGCGGGCTTGAGCCAGCAATTCCCTGTACTTCCAGACGGAAGTGGGAAAGCAAGCGGCGTCGATGTCGGCTGGTCGTGGGAGGAGAAGGTCGGCGAAGATACAGCCTTTCCGTCCACCGTGGTGCAACTCGAATGGAGTCACGCCGATCGCCGGGTGCACCGAAGTGTTGTAGGCGAACTCGATGTCGGGGAGGCGGTCAACCCAATCTTTCTGGTCCGGACGGATGAGCGTACGAAGCATCATTTGAGGAGTTTGATGTGCCCGCTCCGTTTGCCCGTCCGTCTGTGAATGCCGAGTCGAACTTGGTTTCATCTTCGTGCCGGACTCCTGCATGAGAGCAGTCCAAAATGCCGACATGAAGCGAGTGTCGCGGTCGCTGACTATGTCTTCCACTACACCGTGGCCACAAATCCAACCGGTGTGCAAGAGGCGTGCCAGCTCGGGAGCCATGGAGTAGTACTTGCAAGGGAGAAAACGCTCATACTTACTCAAACGGTCCACAACCGTGAGGATGCCGTCGTGCCCAAGGCGATCGCGGGGAAATGGTCCGTTGACATCCATGGCAATGGAGAGGCCGGGTTCCCGTGGGATAGGCATCGGGCGCAACTCGCCGTAGGGGTTGCGATTGCGGGGCTTGCTTCGTCGGCAAACTTCGCAAGAGTCGCAATACTGAGTGACATCGGTAATGAGGTCGGACCATCGGAATCGTTGTCGAAGTCGTGCAATGGTGCGGTTGACTCTGAAATGGCCGGCGAGTCGCGAGTCATGGTACTCGCCAAGAAGGCGAGTCCGAAGACGACGGTCTCGTGGGACACACAATAAGTCCTTGCCTCTCGAGTGGAGGAGCAAGTACCCGTCGGCAATGCGATAGTGGTTGACCGGCGGGTGATCCGAAGATAATTGCGCATACAACGTGGCGAAGTCCGGATCCGACTCATATCCCCRGATGAAGTGTCGCTGAAGTTCCTCGTCGAATGCGAAGGCATGATGTGTCATAGCGCAAAGATCAGGTCTTCGCGAGAGTGCATCTGCTGCGCGATTGGAGAGGCCGGGAAGATGTTTCGGTGTGAAGTCAAATTGGTCGATGAAGTACATCCATCGTCCAATCGTGCTGCTCACCGTATCCTGCGTCTTGTAGTAAGTCAGGGGGTTGTTGTCCGTAACCTATGTGAACCTACGACACCCAAGCAGGAAGTGTCGCCATCGCTTGAGAGCCATCACGAACGCGAGCAGCTCCTTCTTCCTTGCATCATCAAGCGAGTTGATGGGAGGCACTTTGTGGCTGAAATACTCCACAGGGTGCCAGTCGTCGCCGTCGTGTTGTTCCAAGACTGCCCCAATGCCATAGCCGGAAGCGTTAGTTGTCACTCTCGTAGGCAGGGTGGGGTCATAGATGCTAAGGACAGGTGCCATGAGCATGGCCGTCTTCAGTGCTTGGAATGACCGGCGTGCGTCGTCATCGAATACGAATGGCACCTTTGGCGATTGTAATCTCGTCATAGATGCAGCAATCCTTGAGTATCCGGTGATGAATCGCTGATAGTAGCCTGCCAACCCCATGAATGAACGAACGTCCGTGGTGTTGGTATGCTCGGGCCATACGCGGAGGGCCTCGATCTTGTTCGCAAGCGGACAGATGCCTTGCGGCGTCACATAATGTCCCAAGTACTCCAGCTCCTGCCGCGCGAATTCGCATTTGTCGCGGTTGGCTTTGTACTTGGCTTGTCGTAGCCGCTCCAAAACGGTGCGCAGGTGTTCCACATGCTCGTCCAAACTCCGGCTGTACACCAAGATGTCGTTGAGGTAGATAAGTACGAATCGATCCAGCAAGTGTCGGAACTCCGTTGTCATAGCCGCTTGGAAGGTGGTCGGGGCATTCGTAAGGCCAAAAGGCATAACCAGCCATTCGAAATGCCCATATCGCGTCTTAAACGCGGTTTTGTAGCGGTCCTCCTTCCGAATCTCGAGTTGGTGATATCCCGCCTTGAGGTCCAGCTTGGAGAAGAATTTGGCGCCGCCCAGTCGTTCGAGAAGGTCATCGATGCGTGGGAGAGGGCCGACGTTTCTGATCGTTTGCACGTTGAGCTTGCGATAATCGATGCACAACCGCAAATCCTTGTTCTTCTTCCGGACGAAGAGAACAGGAGCACTGTATGGCAATGAGCTAGGCCGAATCCAGCCTTTCTCCAGAAGGTCGTCGAGTTGTGCCCGAAGCACACTTAACTCTTCCTCGCTCATTCGGTAGATGCAACCGCGCAGAGGTACGGCCCCGTCCTCGAGAATGATCTCGTGGCGGATGGGCCGATCCGGTACTACTCCGTGCGGGCCTTCGAACACGTCGCTGTAGGCGTCGAGAAGCTCGGTGATGCGTGGGTCCGAAGATGAATCCGTCGATGAAGCGTCATGGGGCGGGAGGGCTTGGAGAAAACACACCCCCATCTCCTCGATGTCG